TATTTGTAGAGAAAGACACATCAAGATCCTATGCGGATAATTGTGTATATGTACGCCGCGTAAATCGAAGACGTTGTTTACCCTGCGTTATTCTTACATCTTCAGTTGCGCAGAAATATATAACAAACCGTCGCTTACAGAAAGATGCAAACGCAACTAGAAGACACATTTTTTCAATTTGCCTGCTTCCATAACGCCGAGAGATTTCTGAGACTATAAACAGGAAACGGTACATCGGAACTCGAATGACACGAAACACACCCAAACAAAGCCCCTGCCGCACTGTAACAGGTACCGGTCACATGCGTCTTTACTCCCAAAAAAAGAAGTGCCTTCCCCAACCAGATATACACCTTCGTGTACCACGCGGTGCTCCACCACACACAAAACCACACACACAAGAGCTTCCGTTAGTTCCCCCGTGGCCATAAATATTCCCGGGGCGTTCCCAAAGAGCGGCACCCTACCCGACGCTAACCAACCACACACGGGTGGCCACCATTTCCGCGCGCTGCCTTTGATGCCGTCGCCTGATTCCGCGTAGACAAACTTTGACCGTCGAATAAAAACAAAACAAAACAAAAATAACCAAACGGCGTTTTTTGCGATGCGCCCAGTGTGTAAACAGAGAGCGTTTTCTTCCGCGAATCCGCACACCCCGGCGGCAGATACCGAGCAGATATTCCTTGGGGCGCGTTGGTCTCCACTGCTGCTAGGGAGAAGACTGCTTATCGGGGGCGCGCGAGGAGCCAGTGTTCCATTCATGCTGCCCTGGGACTCGTTATTAGAGAGCCATCAAGATACGTGGACGTCGTGTCCCATCGCTGCGCACCTCCTCGCCTTCCTCCGTCCTGCGAGACGCCAAGGGGCCCCCGCAGCAGAGTGACACACCGGCTGCATCGATCATTAGCCCCGGCGCATCATCAGTCAGCCAAAAAGGGGCCGCCATGTATGTATGGCCCCCGGCGGCCGAGGCACCAGTGGCACCGCTCTCTCTCTCTTCGAACCTAGCCCCGGGGTTTGGGCTCCGCTGCGTGGGTACCGAGGCCCCCGCGGTCCGAAACTTCCTGCTGGCGAAAGATGCCCTCCTCCTCTTCCCCACGGCTCGCATGAAGAAGACACACGCGCATTGTATTACACCATCCGCGTATTATGGACGGATTCCGCCCAATTTCTTGGAGAAACATCGATTCGGCGTAATGGTTTTTTTCGTTCTGCGCGGCGGTAATTTATGGTGCAGCGAGAGACCGCCTGGCCGTGGCGAGCATGCAGCAAGCGCGCGCGGCCGCACAAAGGAGATCTCTCGCCGCTCGAAACTCGCAGGTCTCGCTCCGCTTCCATAATTCTTTCGTGTTAAGTGGAGAGGAGAAGATAAATCGAAAGGAAATATAATTAAAAGGAGAGATTAAAGCGCGCGCCGATGAGCGATGCTGTTTAATGCTTTCTAAAGGGGCAATGGGACGGAGCTGGGGTAGTTCTCCGGAAAGTCGCGTGCGTTTAAGGACGGTTGGATGTGTTCACTGCAGCACTAATTTTGAGGATATTGATCTGTGTTCGATTTCTAGTATTATTAGCGATATCCATTGCCAGCTTAAGAAACATAGGACGTGGAAAGTACTGAAAATCTTATTGTCGCTGCTCAGTAAATTAGGCTACTTAAGAACGTCGCTGGACAAATCACCAAGTAAGAAGAGGAAACAGGATAAGCCAACCCATACACTTCTTATGCTGTCAATGATTACAGTAGGAGCAGCGAAGCGTCATTATTTTTACACCTATTGCGCGACCGATTATTCGTTCTAATCAATTTTAGATCTCGACGATGGATAGTAGCACGTCTAAAAGTGTCTGCAAGTCACCTAATACGGACATGTCACGTTGACCTGACCGGTGCGAGCACTTTTCAACGGCAATAACATAGAAACAAAATAATGACGTTGTTTGAAACTTAACACGACACTGCTTGAAGACGTTTACCCGGCATCATCCTTACATTTGCCGTCGCGCGGAGTGATGTTAGACGTAAACACCTGAAGAAGGATGCAAAATCAATTAGAACACATGTCGCGCGATATGCCTGCTTCCAGCCCTCTAGTGGTTTTTGAGGCAATGCAGGGAACAGTGCATCGGAGCTCCAATTTCACAAATCACGCCTAAACAAAACCCCTGACGCACTTTTGACAAATATTGGTACCATAGCAGAAAAAAAAGAAAAAATTGTACGAGCGGTGCAAATTGCATTTTTCGTATTTTTAATATAATATGTTTACTGGTACTGCCATTAAAAATATTATTGGTGACGCAACCATGGGTATAAAAAAAACATTCGCGAAGATCACGATTACGTTAGTACATAATATAGCCGAGTCAAATAGTTTTTTTAATTACAGTTTTAAATTACATACATTTTTTCTCTTTGCCTTTTGTTAAGTCATAATGGAATAGTATCGTGCCTAGGGAGGCGAACGACCTCTAGGTTTAAACCTAAAAAAAATGGAAACAAAATACACAGAAAAGTGTGCTCATTTACACTGTTTCCTTTGACTGGAATCCCACCTCGTCTCGATGAGCATGACATATGCAACGCAAGACAATGGAAAAAATCGTGCACCATTCATCGATTGCTCCGCGGAGTCCTTCGGGGTCGACACGATTTCGTTTTTCTTTTCGCAAGTTTCTTTTTGGTGGCTTTTGGCAGCCAGAGTTGCAGAACTCGCGCGTATATATATTGAACCCGAGTCAAAAGAGAGACCGTGTTCCTAAGAAACCTCGGGGAGAGGGCGAGGGAATCGCGGAGAGCTTTTCGTGGCTCGAGACAAATCGATCATTTGGCTGCGAGCGCGGAGAGGTGTCTTCTTTGTACTTCTTCTCTTCTCTGCGGTGTGTGTGTGTGCAGAAAGGTTCGCGAAAAAAAAGAATGAATAGCGGCGCTCTCTTCCGCAACCATGTACCACCTCTTTCTTCGGTCCCGTGGGTGCACGTGCGGCGCGAGAGCGTTAACAGGGCAGTTTACTGTCCCACGTGGCTGGGGCAATTGAACCCAATGAGTGTGGGCCGCTATGTGTGAGCAACGCTATGCGCGGTTTCGACAAACCAGGTTGGTTGAGGAGCTTTCTTCACGCCCGAGACCTCGAAGAGATAAACAAAAATCTGGATAATGTTCGACCTTTCAACCTTCGAGCAACACCTGCTACAAAGAGTGCCTTTGAAGTTGATATATCAACTACAGCGTGACTCCTTAGAGTCACGCGGACGCAAAACCGAGAGGTACGACCCGAATTTTGTGTTCACCCGCGTTAAGACCGACCCAGTGTGTCATAAAAGTGACTGCCACATAGATAAACGTATATTTGAACCTTTAAAAATGATCGTTGGTGGTCATTATGACTATAAACGCTTAGAAAGTTGAGGGAAAATGTATGAATATGAGATTTGACATAATCTTCTCGTGACTATTCGCTGCGAGGATTTTGGTATCGCCGCCTGATGGAATTTTGTGATAACCTAAGGTGAGGACACTTTAACTTCCTCTTCTGCTGCAAGCACATGCAATGCCAAGCTTCTATGCACTATCAAAATTAAATCATAACCGCGTGGCTATCACGAGCACAACCCAAAGTGAGGAAAACGGAAACGCACAGCGAACTTTTCACCATGAATAGTCCGTCCTAACCATACGTGGACTGCAGCGATAAAAACCGGAAGCACGAGCTCATAGTTTTAGCAAACGTGCATGCTTCAACCCCGACACAATGATTGTAATCAATGCGCGTTCAAAAGCGAGGAGCTTGATCTTGCAGCTTTCTCTAATTTGATGTTCATGCGAGACGAAATAGATAATTTGTTAAGTGAAGCGTGGCCAACGCTAAGCAATGTGAAAAGCACGTGGAATGTTTCGCTGCGGAGTCGGGTTGTCATAGAAACGCTCCCAACTGCCCGCCCTAGTGTCACGATGAAATAAGCTAATCTAAAGGTAACAGCAGTGATGGAAAACTATGTCGAAACATTATATGACCGGATATTAAACATTGGGAAACATCCGTTGACACTAACTCGGTGCCTTCTTGATTTGGACAGAGGCTCGCGCACTTAAAACGAAACTTGTTCGGAGCACCTGCACGTGTACACTGCCGTTTCATGACGAGAAATATATTCAGTGCACACGACACGAAGCAAAGCGCGTAATATTTTAAATCGGACAGCGATTTTGTTTTTGGTGGGAACGGTTGTACGCGTATTTGATTGATCGTGCCGTCCTTTCCGCAAATGAGAATTGTACCCGCACAGAGTTACCTCCACCACATTGCGACTGACAGCGAGCTGGCAGCACCCGTCATAAAATTCAGCGTGTCCAGAATGATAAACTCAACCCAGAACAGTTCACAGGCCACGAGGTGGCGAAATCACGTCAGAAATCACGGGCAGTACCGAACGCGGCCCCACGTGAAAGAACACGTGGAAAGCTCTCCGCACTCGAAACGCCAAGCCTCGAGGGAAGTGGGCGGAGCGGAGAACCAACAAAACACGACCCGCGTGCCTGCGCCTGGATGCTCGTAAATTTCGGGCCGGCCGTTAAAAGTGCCAGAGGACGGGCCCCAATTGGGCCGACCGGGAACGTTTCGAGACCTCCGCCAAGCGAACCGGAGACGGCCGCCGGTCGTTCGGTTTTATGGGCCCGTCGAGAGGAGGCCATCGGAGCACGGGAAACACCGGCAGCGCGGACGGCTTTGCCGCTGACAGGATTACGACTCCGACCGGCCAACCCAGTGCCGGCACGGCCGGTCGCGAGGGGTGGAGACGGCGGATATTTACGACACCGGCGATCCGCGCCAAAGGCCCGACGAACCCAGGACCGCCTCCGGAGGCCGAACTGCTCCGATCGGCGAGCACCGCGTGCGCCTGTGTCGGCGGCGCGACCGCGTGCTCTGCGTCGTGTTTACGGCGCGCGCGGTTCGGCGTGACAGCGCCGGTGTCAGCGCGACCTCGTGCCCGGTACTCACTCTGTCCGACGTGCACTTTGCGCATCCACGGGTAGATCTGCGGCGGCGTGGTCGGGTAGGCCGGCTTCTGCTGCTGCTGCGCGGACTGTCCCGACGGCGGCGTGGTTTGCGACGGCGCGGCCCGACTTCCGGCCTGCTGCTGGGGCTGCGGGCTGGGCTGGCCGCCCGCTGCCCCGGCAGCGCCCTGTGCAGGCTGCCCGGGGGACGGCGACGACCCGCGGGTCTCCGGGCTCGACGGCGACTGGGTGCTGGAGGCGCTCAGGTCCTGCGGGGACGCGGCCGTCGACTCCGGCGCGGCGTACTTGCAGCTCGACACGGCCGTGGCCGACGGCGTGGGCGTGCGCGGACTCGGGTGTCCCCCCGGCAGCCGCTGGGCGCAACCGGCGAACGGGTGCTCGGCGCCGTTCTGCAGGTGCGCGGCGGGCTGGCTGTAGGGGCCCCCGTAGGGCTGCACGGGCGACGCCGGGCCGCTGTAGCAGCCGGCCGCCGCGTACGGCTGCACCTGCGGCGTGTAATAGTCCGAGTCCTGGCCGCGCTGTTGCTGGCCGTAGCAGGAGGCGAGCGAGTTGACGAACTGGTACGAACTCATGGGTCCCCCGGAGCGGTCCCGCGGCGACGCAGATCACGGGCCGTCCAGAGGTGGCGCCATGGGCGCAGACAGTTGTCGCGGCGGCGCACGAGAGAAAAAAAAAAGCAACACACCAAGCTGGCAGGAGCACACGATGCCGACCCAACTCCACCCGACGAAGCCTCGGGGCACGACTGTGCCCGGCCCGCGCGGGGCTTGCCTGTTATACGAAGGGGGGCCGAAGAGGGGCAGCCCTGGCCACAGCGCCCTCTGCACCTTCCCAGCGCCACTGCGGCCCGACTACTGAGCTCCGCTGCTGCCGAGCGCTGCCGCCGCCGCTGCGCTGAGGGGGAGAGCTCTGGAGCGCCGCTTGTCGCTCACTGCTACGTCGCTGCCGCGAGCTCCATGATCGATTCCTTTCTGGGCGAATGAGACGCCAAGAACATTTCCCTCGTAGCCCTGAGACCGCATTATAATTTCTTCCAGCTTCAATTAATATCTGCCAGCGCCAAGATTCCCCTCGCCCCCCTTCGGGACCCCCTCGCACTCCTCCCTGGAGGGCTCCTGCCGTCGAGAATAGCCAGCGTGGCGCTCGCAGCGCCGGCGCCCCCTCGCCCGCGGTGGCTGGGCCCTCTGCCGCGCTCTCCGCCGCAGCCTGCGCTGGCGCGATGGCCGACTGCATGCGTCCCAAGCCCCGAGCGACGCACGCACGGAGCACCCCTCTCCGCGTTTCGCCCCTCTCCACCTGAAAGGATATTCCACTCTCGTCCCCAGCCGTCTAGGCCACCCCTACTTTCGTGACGTCCCGGTCACATGGGGACCTCGCTCCTCCCCGTTGCTTCTGGGCATGCGCAATCGTGGCGCCCTTCGTGCTGCCCGCGCGCCACGGATTATTTCGTGCGCGAACGCCGAGCGTAGATGAGATCGAATTGTGGCGCAACGTCGACTGGTGACACTTCCGGAGGTGGTGTCCCCGAGCCTCACACTGGCACCGAGTCTAAATAGCAGTCTGAATTAAAAAGAAAAAGGAAAGAAAATAATGATAGTTAACTAAAGAAGCGAGCAGATGAGGATCGTTCATCAGTGCACGCTGCCAAATCGACGAAAAAGTTGTTATTCTTCGATAAAATGTTTTCTTTTGGGGGGCAACTCAATTGACCAACCGGATTGACTTTCGTAGGATAGAGACCCCGAGGTAGGCAACCCTTCGTTTACTCTGGCACCTCGCCTAACATTTCATCGACGCTCCTACTGCCTGTCACTAACTCATCGCCTGCAACCTATCGCAACACCACCTTTCATAAATATAAAATTCCACGTTCGCGATGTAATAAAGCTCAGCATCCTTTGCGTCTGTCTGTCTGACCGTCATTTACTACGCTTCTCATTTGGGCGACTTATGGCGGCAAATCAAGTAGCCATATAACATAGGGCATTTTCGTTTCCTTCCACGTCTTACCACACTTTACAAATATAAATATCGCAAAATCATTTTTCAAGAACGAGAATAATGGCAACAAAAGGCCGATTACTACACATTGACCCTCTTCAGATATGCCCTACTCATACATAATCTGCAAGCCAACCTACCGAGCACGCACTTGCGCGACTCCGGAGAGAGAGAGCCAGGCGCGACGCCACGCCGTCCCGCACGCCGACATAGAGAGGCCGCGGTTCAAAAGAGGGCGCCAAAACTCGACGCCGCGCCTCGAGCTGCCGGCCATAAATCTCGCGGCCGGGTTCGCCGTCCTCTTCGGCGGCACTGCCGGAGCAATACCGGTCCGCCGATCAACTCACCCGGGCTCGCCCGATGAGCTAAAACCACCCGCTCGTCCTGATGAATGCTTGCTGAACCCTGCCGGAACACGATTCAGGTAAATTAGCGCCACTCGGCCTCGTTTCCGGCCTCCTTTTGTGCCCCGCTCCGCGCGCCCGACGCAGGCCGCCATTACGCCCGTGAAAGCTTGTGTAAACAAATATGGCGGCGCCCATGCGTCGTCGCCGGCTCGGATCAGCCGAGTTTGGGTCGTTCGTCTCGCCTTAATTGTTTCCATTCTCGTACCGCTATATGAGTGTCGTTGGCGGAGTTTTAGGTTTATGAGGTGTATAGAGTACGCGCGACGATTTTTGAAAATGCTTATTGAGTCCTTGAGATGATGGTTTTCGGTCGTTTGCTCATTGCCGCGGAGAGCTAATTTTGCCTTGTTCTCAAGGGGGAGGATATCGGTTATAAACAAATTTTAACTTCTCTTCTTTTTTTGTTCCTTTTACTATTTTTCATAGAACGTTTCTAGCTTCTATGCCCTACTCCCCGCTCGACGGCGCGAAACAAACAAAATAGCGCTAATATATTTTGGGTGGATACAAAAACTTGAAAATCAAGTTATTATTTTATCGACATAACTTCAGGTTACAAGACTCTTTGTTATCATTGATACAAAGCACTAGCGCGTTATTCGTTCGGTACATTTGTAAGCGAACAGTTTGATTTAATAATAATAATAATAATAATAATAGTAATATTAATAATAGTAGTAATAATAATTTTCGTTGTGTATATTTCATATTACTTTTTGGAGTTATTCAGACTAGCATATTCAGAATAACAGAGGAAATATTAGGTATATCTAAATGCACAGAAGGATATATATATATATATATATATATATATATATATATATATATATATATATATATATATATATATATATATATATATATATATATATATATATATATATATATATATCCTTCTGTGCATTTAAGTGAGGTCGTATTAGGAGAATGGATCGGAGTACGAACCCTCAGTGTTAGGTTTATTTGATAATGCTATGCCTCCTTTGGTTGATGGCACTAAACTAAAACTGTATCGAATAAACCTGGAAATCATTTAGTATGGTGCATCTTTAGCCGAAAACATATATCAAGATTATAATATGTTCAGTTAGCTGTGCTTCCATGTACGGTAAGCATTTTAATATTCCTCTAGTACATGTACCCTATGGTATATTGTAGGTGGCACTAAATTTTTCAAAGGATGTACTGCGTATCTGTGCTCTATCTGGTCTAGCAATAAGTCTTCGTAGATAGAAACTTACAAATAAAACGCGGATATTTATTTAGAAAGTTATTTTACTGTTTCGATGAAGTGACGAATTTGTCATAATGGCGTATTAAAAAATGTTAATTTTTCATATTAAGCCTTGACATTACTCGTTTAGATTTGAAAGGCTTGAAAGAATAAGGGGTCAGTACACATCATTAAAAAAAAAGAGATTTCTTTAGCGTACAAATTTTATATCGGAGTCGGGCTGAAGTTATAACAAAGGTGCCTTCTGGTTCTTCGTATTAAAAAGCACTATTTTCATATTCCCAATCTCAAAAGCTTGAATAAGCTTCCTTTCTTTTTTTTCTCTCACGGGTATGCGGATTAAGCCGAAATTAGTCTTGCTCCCATGTTCCAACACTCCCAACATTTGTTTTGATGGTATGCGGAAATGGGAAATCCTAACGCGCAGATTTAAAATAGAAAATTTCTCGCTGTGCGCTCATACACGCTCGTACTCTTGTGTTTGCCTTTCATAGAAGATAAATATTTCTCGCCATACTCGGCCGAAGGTACTACCTCGGAAAAAGTTTAAATATTTCAGGTATTATTTATATATCAGAGTCAGCGTGCTCACTGCATGAAGTATCTTTAATTTCTAGAAATAACACAGGAACGGGTATCTGATACTCATCTGAGATCCAATGGATTCAAACTCGTCGTCCTCCTCGCCAGAATAGCGGAATAACATTTGGGTTTTCAGGTGCTTTCGTTAGACATATGAAAACACAACGAAAACCGCTAAAAGACAAACATATGGTGGCCCATTTAAATATAAAAACAACGTGGAATATAAATATAGTATTGTGACATTTCTTGCAGCAACAAATAATGATAGTTGCCCTATGCGCGGTATTTTATTTAAATTTTTTATACATATCTGACTTTTATTTTTTTTCTCCCTGAACTATCTGGTCCACAGTATCAAACAAGCTATATAAATAATTAACATGCGGGCGCGCGTCAGCTCGTTTGGTTTATAAATTGTATTTACTTTGAAAGTCTGCAAACTTCTAACTTATTTTCAACTGGAGGATTGTATATTCCATCTTTTGTCGTCTGTTTTGGTGCATATATATAGCTGGTCTTCCTAGAAGCTGAGTGTCTGTCGTCTGAGAACGTTTGGGTCTCATCCTTTTATCTCCGAATTTGACTGTTCAGAATCGATTAGGAGTTCAACTAAATCAGTCGCTGATCTTTAACGGAATAGCAAGTCGGTTAAACAGCCCAATGTTTAGGCTGAGAGGATTCATGAACTCTGCGAAATGTTCAATATGTATAACATATAATAAGGAAACAGAGTTGCAAGTATTTGTATGGCCTAAGCAATCCAGGAAAACGTTTTTTTAAAAGGCCAATTAATTTTATTGTTTGTTTTTACATATATATATATATATATATATACAATGACACGAACTGATGGAAGAAGGAAGGACGGGGAAGGCATGAAGGGCATGCATATTCTTACGCAGGTCAAGTTGCCAGTTTAACACTTCTGAAATAATTGAAAAGTGAGACGTATGTGTAATTGCATAAGAAATATTTATTGCAATCCAAAATACGCCAATGGGCCTAAAACAAAACACAGAGGTACTGGGCTTTATTATTCCTTCCTTTACCTTGCCATGGGCTGCAGCAACTTTGTAAACTGAGCACAACGATAAGAATGTATATTTTGCAAAGGGAAACCAAGCTCTAAATATAGTGCAACCTTCATACAGGTTTTAACTGAGAAGAAGTAGCGAAATCTTGTTCTAGACTAATTAACACATTAGAAATATGACGCCGATTAATTAATAAACACTTAATCTGTCCGTGAATTGATTAATTCCAGAGCCCTAATGAATTTCCTTGCCTTGGATTGTTTCACCAGGGTTCGTTAATTTTTTTTTCTTTACAAATTGGCTTTTCGAAGCAAATATATCATATGCTATCGCCTTTCACATTGTTCATTTATTTTCAACTGGATAAGTCTGCAACACTTACACGGGATTAGACTAAGGCACTTGGTTTTTTATCCTTTTACCTGTCTCAACTCAGTAATGTATGCTATTCTCGTGCGTGTCTTGTATTCTCACTAGTGCTGGGCAACTGATCGACTAACCTACCGATTAATCGATTAATGCTTTAATCGTGATAACAAATTTTAGCCTGTTAAGTGGTAAGATTTTGACAAACCCAGAGAATGTAAATGTTAAACGCTTTCACCACACAGATGTAGACGACTACACCAGTATGGTAGGTGAACTTTAGCTCAGGTTTTAGCCTTAAATAAACTGTACGGGCGAGATTTGTAAGTCCTGGACTTTTCAACGCCGTTCGATTGTTCGTTTAGCGCAGCAGGGACAATTGTGAACAATTAAAGGAGGGATCGCTCATGCCGCAGAGTATCAACGAACCTTTTTGCCTTATACGGCTGAAGTAAAAATTTGTGATTGTGAGTGTCTTTCAACTGTTCTCAACTACACATCAATGTTGGTTCATAATCGAAATCGTACATTGTGTTGTTTATCACATACTCAACGAAAACAAAACAATTGATTAATTTTGACTCCAAAAAATATTATGGATGAA